AACCCAACACAAGGGAGACGTTTGCATTTTTACCGTAACAGTCAGTTAACACCGATCAGAGTGAAACAGAATTATAGAGATAATCTTGTTTACACATCGCCTTCAGTAGCACTCAGTCAGTTGTTAGTCCGGCAGATTGGAAAGAAGACAACATCTGTAACTTTTTTAATGCTAGTTGTCCAAATGTAAAGTCTAAAAATCTCCGACTATCATTTCAAAATGTCTCGTTGACCTCACCGGAGTTGACAGGCTCATGCAGTTTTGAAGCCACCAAACAGCATAGAAGTTTCAACCTCCGGTTGATGCGCGGAGGTGACGACTGTGAGACGTGTCTCGGACACACACCAATCCCTATGATATATCTTGATTGTTTACCTTACTAATACGATCATGCGTCTCTCTCTCAGTGTTTGTCATTCTCCCCGTGAAAAGTGACGTCGGATCATGCTACACTGATGACACATTTGTCATCTTGAAGAAGTCGGAACTAGAAAGAACATTATTAATAACATATTCAATAGCATCAAGTTCACAATGGAGACGGAGATGGACAAACAACTGGTATTTTCGACATCTTGACCACCAGAACGCCATCAGAGAAACTGGAGACAACGGTCTATTGCAAGGCAACACATACGGATCAAATCATAAACTTCGAAAGTAATCATCCACACAGCCAGTAAAGATGCGGTGTTAGAATGTTGTTCGGAAGAATCCAAACGCACTGCAGCACCGATATACTCAAGAAGAAAGATGAAAGATACCTCCTCAGGGCATCTGCTCGCAATGACCACACTCGCAACTTCACCAAAAGAACTCAGACCCAAAGAAAGAAGGAAACAATTGACGGAGAATCGAGAACAAGAAAGACCTTGCCGTAGATCAAGGACGTTTCGGAAGTGACAACAAGACTGCTCAGATTATTCGGAATCCAAATTGCCCACAAACCGATCGCCTGTCTAAGGGGACTTCTGTCAAAACCAGAGGACAGAACAATAGAGAAGGACAAGAACAGCGTTATCTACAAAATAAACTGCAGGAAAGGCCCAGACACTAGACCTGACAAATTGGAAGAAAACTGTCAACAAGGATCCATGAACAACAATCAACAGTCAGGAGACATGACCAACTGTCGTTGATCTCCCTCCACGAAGATCAAGAAGGACATCAGTTTGACTTCGAATCAGTGAGAATTATCGACCAAGGCCGGTCAAAACACGCCAGAGAATTTCCCCAGGCTTGACACTTTTCAACCAACTCAATAAACAGACATCGAACTGGATCACGTGTACACTCCAATGCAACTTAAGGATTAAATAAGGTAACAAAAAAGATCACGCCGTGTCCTGAGAAGGGACCGAAACCGCAACCAGGACGGAAGGACAAATTCCTCCCCTTCAACCTTCATCCCCGCTCGCACCAGTTCAACGGCAAACCGAGTCGAACACAGTGAGAACAATGGACAAAAACAGTCGGTGGAGAAGAACGCAGACGAACGGGTACAAGCAGAACACTACCACTTCACAAACACTGATGATGTCACCTCGGCTGGTGATGAAACGCTTGCAAACAAATTGCCAAGCTTGATGAACAGGCGAAATGGAACACTGATACCAATGGATCATGCTCGATCAACACTTGAGCCATTGCTTACGTCCGTCCGAATTGATGCTTATTATTCGAGTGCGATATTTACCGGAGGAGATAGAATGAAAAACTCTGGAAGTAACTGGTGTAACGCTGTGCTTCATTGCTTTCTGCTCAAAACTCACCAATACCATAATAGTTCTCTTTTACTTGACCGTTTACACACACACACATGCAAATATACCACCCATCTCCTTGGAAGCGAACTGTGAACGATAAACTATGGAAATGCATAGGAAATTGCATATGAAAATGATTTCTTTTAATGAATAGACCACTGCCCTACCTGCTCAGTCTACCAAGTGCTTTCATGTCTGTCTCATCAAAAAATTGTTCCTCATTAATTTGAATCACTTGTGTTTCAGATAACTTCTCACAAACACGATTTGTCAGTGATTTTAACTTTCCAACTTTTCCGGATGTCTTCCGCACTTTCGTCACCATGTCCCAGACCTTGCCTCGACAATTGGTTCTTATTTATTTTTCAGCATTGGCATTATACCACTATACCTAAATGTCACTCTAAAGAACAAATTTTGTGGTGTGCAGTGAGTTCTTCGACTCCGATCCAATTTGTTCATCGGCAGTAATCATATATTGATGCTCCGTAACATTTCCCGGCTCACTTAAGGGGGACTTCAGGGCTTTTACCGTAGGTTCACTTGGCAATGCTTGTGTAACTCTGCTTGCGGTTTTGTTAGTCATTCTCCTATCAAATTTTGCATTCGTTTTACTAATAACACATCTTTCTGATCCAACTCAGTACTCACCTGTTAAACACACTTTCATGCGTCCAATCCATCTCTTGTTATACTTAAACGGTACATAAGTTTCTGTAATAAAAGCTCTGTCATTCTTTGACTAGCACAAATTCCTATCAACAAGGTTAACATTTCGACTTAACTATTCACGTAATCTGATGTTTGAGACTCTAATTGTGTTAATGACCGTTGTGTTTCATTTTCTAAACCACCTCTCTCCTTGAATAAAAATCTGTACACACGTGCTGAAGCCGATTAATACAGGTATTGACCAAACTCGTCCAACATCCTGATTTTCCTCACATTGTTTCCTGCAATTGCTTTGATTTTCCAGCCTTATTCACGGGATTGAATATGGTATTGCCCCATATAACACACAACATATCTGATATAATACCCACTTATGTCGTTGCTTCTGTTGGCCACACGCCAATAAAATGTACGATTTCTAGATTTTGACGATGGTTGTCGGTGGATCAGTTGTAAAAAAACAAAGTCACAGTAGAAAAGATAACTATAATTTATGTATTAAAATGATTCAAAGACTTCATACATGTATTGTACGTTGATCTCGTCCATGTTCCATTTGCCCTTTTCTATTTTTAGCATTGGAGGCAGTCGTATTAGCATGGAGTCCATCAAGTTGACTGTACAATCTGGTACAATGGATTACGACCAACCTTCCATGACGCAGTGTTGCTTGCGGCTTGGCAACAGTAATCGGTGGACGCCATAAGGAAAAAAGTTTGTGTGATTCATAGAAAACGAAGACAACAGCAGATGGCATGTGAGGAGCGCTTTTCGAATCAGATTCCACATTCAGCGTGTGTGCTCACTCAAAGTTTTCAAAAGCTACAGTTTCCCTCACAGTGGACGAGATTTCATTCCTGCCAGCGAGAAATGCACTCACAGGGTGCTTTTTCACTGTCTGTTCAATAAAATACCACTCGCTGTCTTATCTGCGTGTGGGTATTTTCATTTCAAGTGAGGGGGTAAAATCCAATAGATGAGTTGGTGAGCTAGCTGGTAAACTCAGATT